TGTGTCTGTGTGTGTTTGGGGCTTGAACTCAGGGCCTGGGCACTATTTCTGAGCTTCTTGTGCTCAAGGCTAGCATTCTACCACTTGAGCCACAGCACTACTTCCAGCCTTTTCTGTTTATGTGGTGCTGAGGAATTGAACCCAGGGCTTCATGCATGCTAGGCAAGCGCTTTACCACTGAGCCCCCTTCCCAGCCCTCTCTTAGCTCTTTGGGTAAAAGCTGGTGCACTGCTACTCTACTTGAGCCACAGCTCCATTTCTGGATTTTTTTTTTCCAGAGTTAAGGACCAAACTCAGGAACAAGCACTTGGCAGGCAAGTGCTCTTCCACTGAGCTAATTTCCCAACCCCACACTTGGGGCTTTTGGTGGTTAATGGGAGGTAAGAGTGGCATGGACTTTCCTGCCCAGGCTGGCTTCAAACCATGATCCTCAGATCTCAGCCTCCTGAGTAGGATTACAGGCAGGAGCTGCCAGGGCCCAGCATCCTTTAGTCGTCTTCTTTTTTTGAGGGGGTGGGGGGTCATGGGGCTTGAATTCAGCCTGGGCATTGTCCCTCAGCTCTTCAGCTCAAGGCTAGTGGTCTACCGCTAGCCACAGTACCACTTCCAGCTTTCTGGTGGTTTATTGGAAAGAAGAGTTTCATGGGCTTTCCTGCCCAGGCTGGCTTTGAATCGGGATTCTCAGATCTCAGCCTCCTGAGTAGCTAGGATTACAGGCGTGAGCCACTGGTGCCCAGCTTCCCTTAGCCTTCTTGAGCTCCTGTTTACTTGACACATGGGGATAGTTAAGACTTAAGAAAGGTACCAGGTCTTTTTTTTTTTTTGGGGTCCAGTCATGGGGCCTGAACTCTGGGCCTGGGCGCTATCCCTCAGCTCTTGAGCTCAAGGCTAGCACTCTACCACTTGAGCCACAGCGCCACTTCCGGCTTTTTTCTTTTTGCTTATATGGTGCTGAGGAATCAAACCCAGGGCCTCATGCATGCAAGGCAAATGCTCTACCACTGAGCCACCTTCCCAGTCCCGGTACCAGGTCTTTAGATCCGTAGTAGGGAACCTTTTTTCTGCCAAGGACCATTTGCATATTCATAACATTGTTATAGTCCATACAAAGCTGTAGCCATGGTCAGCCAGCAGGAAGCCTGACATGTCTGTTCCATCCTGGACCAAATGATTTTGTCCTGGGGCTAGATGTTCCCCTTCCCTGGACACTTAAAGAATAAATGAAGTTCTTTCTGAGATCTTCAGAGAAAATATCTAAGAAGGGGTAGGTAGCTTGGACACTTAGGGATTCCTGGAAGCCTTCCAGGACCTGAGAAGTGATTCTTTTTTATTGCCCTAACTCAGGCACAAGCTTGTTATTTTCATAGCTTTCCAGTCCAGTGCCCCAGACCAGAGGGGGAAATTTCAGGCCAAAGTCCTCTCATGTTAGAAGAAAGCAGACTGGCCCAGCTCCCATTTTCTTTTCTTTTTCTTTTCTTTGTTTTTTTCTTTTTTTGTCGGTCGTGGGGCTTGAACTCTGGGCCTGGGCACTGTCCCTGCGCTCTCCAGCTCCCATTTTCTTTCCCTTTTTTTCTTTCTTTCTTTTTTTTTTTTTTTGGTCGGTCATGGGGCTTGAACTGGGCGTGGGCATTGTCCCTGAGTTTTTTCACTCAAGGCTAGCACTCAACTACTTTGAGCCATAGCTCTACTTCTAGTTTTCTGGTGGTTCATTGGCGATAAGTCTCAGGAACTTTCCTGCCCAGGCTGGCTTTGAACCTTGATCCTAGATCTCAGCCTCCTGAGTAGTTAGGATTGTAGGCATGTGCTACCAGCACCTGGCCCAGTTCCCACTTTCTTAGTGCTCTCTTGGCCATCTCTCCTAGGTTTGTTCCAAGGTCTAGCACCAAATACTTAACCTCACTTCCCATTTGTCCTTCTGAGTCATGAGCCCTACAGGAGTAGTTCAGGTAAGCTGAGCCCCTCTTCCCAAAGATATGCAGAATCCAAATGGAAACATTTTAATTGTATTATCCACATCCACACTGTGGCTCCCATGAGTTTGAATATACCCAGGCTGTAAGGTGACTTTCTTTCTCCCAGGGCCCTAGCCCCTCCACCAGAGGGGGGAAAAAAAGTTACGCAGCCTGAAAGAGTTGGTTCCTATTTAGTCCCAAGTCTGGAGCAATAAAGTCTGGCCCACTCCAGTCCGAATGACACTGAGATTTCATCCCCATTCTGCCTGGCTTTCCAACATGCCTCCTCCCAGTCCATTGTGGCGGCAGCCGTGGCAGAGGCAGAAGCAGATTTATTTCAGATTGCAGTACAGATACATGGATACAATCATGGCAGCCAGCTGTGTGGAGGAGGAACAGGGAGAGATTGGGATTATCAAGGATTGGTCTCCTGTCCCCTGCCCTGCCCCCAGCCAGCCTACATGAACCTCTGTTAGAAGTCTGTCTCCAGGGTTGGGAGTGTAGTTTAGAGTATGTCATAATGCACAAGGCCCTGGGTTCGATCCCTAATAAAATGTGTGTGTGTGTGTGTGTGCGCGCGCATGCGCGTGTGTGTGTGTATTTCTATGTGTTTGTATATATACATGAGTCTGTGCAGGTATTAGAGCTTGAGCTCTGCCTGAGTATGATCCCTTAGGTTTTTTTTTTTGTTGTTGTTATTTTTGTCAGTCAGTTATGGGGCTTGAACTCTGGGCCTGGGCACCTTCCCTCCTGAGCTCTTCAGCTCAAGGCTACTGCTCTACCACTTAAGCCACAGCACCACTTGTGGTTTTCTGGTGGTTAATTGGAGATAAAAGCTCACAGACTTTGCTGTTCTAGCTGGCTTCAAAATGTGATTCTCAGATCTCAGCCTCCTGAGTAGTTAGGACTGCAGATCAGAGCCACTGATATCACCTAGAGAGGCCTTAAAGATGTCTTACAGCCCAGGTCTGATGGAAATTGATATCCAACTCCCCATCTCTTTATTTGGCTTACCTCCAGGCCTCCAATTCCAGCTGCCACACCACCCACAGTGATTGCATTGGTTCGAATGCCATGCAAAAGCTGCTTGAAGCAACCCTGGGGAAGGGAAAGGGCATTTATTGCCGGAACCTACTCTCCATTCCCATTTGACATTAAAACTGTCCCTACCCTCCCATTGCTAATCCATACCTGTACACTCATGTTTTGGGCTCTTTCCAAAGTACATGGTTCCTCTTCTGTGCTGTTGAGAGGGTTGATACAACAAAATGGAGGAATGACACCATTCTCTTTTAAGTAGCGTGAGTTCTCAAAATCGGTGTAGTTGTTGAAGCCGCAGCACTTGAGCTAGAGATGGGTGTGGTGGGTGGTCAGTGAGATCTTGCTTTCTTCTTTCCCCCCTCAAATCCACCTGGTCCACCTTACCCCTTCCATGGTAGAGTTCCACACTTGTGTGAAGTCATTCTGGTAACCGTAGTCTTTCTTGATGGTAGGCACTACCAGCAATGCCAGGAATTGCTCAGCCTGGGTGGGCAGGCCAGTGTTTAGAGGCTGGTAAAAGGAAGGTGTCCATTCACAGGCCACAGCCCACTCCCCAGGGGTTTGCCCAGCACCTCACCATTGTTGTGTACACCAAGGCAACCACAGCAGCTGCAATCTCAGCAATGAAAATGAGGAGGAGGATGAAGAAGAACTGAGTGAGGAACAGGAGAATGGGTTTTAGGAGAGACAGGCCATCATGCCCCAGTGCACTAACCCACCCACCCCACTCCACCCTATCAAAATTAACCCATATGCTGAGACCCCCTGGAGTCCAAGGTTAGGGTTTGGGAATGCCCCGAAGTTGGTGTCAAGGGCAAGGGAACCCTTGGTAACAGGCCTGGGGAGCTGGGTCTGACACACCATCATGAGAGCACACTTGTTCTCAGACTGAGCACCGTAGCAGCCCAGGAAACCAAGAGCAAAGAGCAGTGCACCAGCCGCGATGAGGAAGTAGCCCACGTTGACAAACTGCATGGCACTGGACGACAGCGGCCCAAAGATCTTCAGGAAGGATGGCCCATCGACCGACACCCAGATGCCCACAGCTAACAGAGCTGCACCACACAGCTGGGGACAGAAATGAGGCAGGCTTTGAAACAGCGTTAATGAGAAGATCCCCTGTGAGCAGAGATAACTTGTCCCTTGGTTGGTTAGGGAATCTAACAATCTATCATCCACGGGGAGAAATACCCTTGTGCCAGAAAGACAGGAGCTAGACCACTCCAAACTAGTACCAGGCTCTATACCTGAGCAGATAAAAATGAGAACAGAGGTTCAAGAAATATCTACAGGTCAGGGGTAGGACAAGACTATTCTTGCCAGAAACCTGCAACCTAGCTAGGCAGGTGAGGGCCCAATTCTTCCATTTCCTTCCTAGGATGTGACTACCTAGAACACCTCTGTCCTCTGATAGGTGGAAACAGGGGTGGCAGTGTTAGCAGACTCAACAGTCACCATAGTAACAGAGGTGGGGCTGAGGTTTACACCTGCTCCCAACCTTGAAGAGGGCGGAGGTTGAGGTTTACCCACCTTGAGGCCCCATTTAACTCCCTTCTGACTACTCTTTATCCATCTAGACTTCCTTTACACCCAAAGGGAAATAAAGCATCAAAAAGGGAATCGGGCCACAGCTTCTTGTAAAGATAATAGCATAATGGCTTAAGCCAGACCCTAGTGACTCACAAATGTAATCCTAATTACTCTGAAGGCTGAGATCTGAGGATCATAGATCAAATCGAGCTTGGGCAGGAAAGTCCATGAGACTATAT